AAAGTAGTCCGATTTAAATTATAATTACACAGATTTGAAAATTCCTTTAGCTAATTACAGGGCCTAACGTTAACCCAACTGATGGAAATAAATAATAACTGAACTTGTAACAGTTTTGTTGCAAAGCACAATATTATGGTGAAATTAGATCTCGTGTTTGTTGAGTTAAAACCGAATTATTGTTGTATAAGCATAGCAAGCATCATAGCAAAAAGGCTAACAAACTTAAGAGTTATACCCACCAATTAACATTAGCCCTTCATTCATGACATGGATACCGTAATAATCATACAGAGAGAACATAGTTGCATACCTTTATCTTTTGCTCGTTTCTCCTCTTCTTCTTTTCTTTTTTTCTAAATTGGGCACCTGATGGCTTTGACCTTTTCCTGTCCATCTCTGTGTTTATTTGGCACTCGACAATCAACAGATGGCACTCAACAATCAACAGATTTCCCCCAACACTGTCACGCACGACCAGAAGTCAAGACTAAACCAATTCACCTTGGTGACCACATAATCGTTTTGTATTACCTTTTTTTATTAGCCATTTCACACAATTCAGAAAAACAAAAATGTGCAGGAACTATAGGCCCGTGCCAAACACCGCTACTGTCCAGGACGGTAGGAAAGATATCATTAAAGTACTCCATGTGACCTCAGCTTAATGAAGCAACCGATTGGTTGAATTACTTGAACGTGCTCCTCCCGAGCTTTGTTGAATAAACTTCATTTAGATGCAGGTGTATTCCAATTGGATTTCAGTCTGGCTGCTCAAATCGGATTTAAAATTGTTTTTGGCGTCACTCTTAGCGTGACACACACCTGCATCTGTTTTGAAAGCCTCGTCACTTACGCCTACATCATTACCAAAGCAACCCACATGCAGAAACATTGTTTATGTCTGGACAAACAAATCGGACTTGATCACTTACAATCAGTGTGGACAGTCTGCCTGAAGAGATCTGATTTGCCTGCACTCTGAACATAGCCTGAGAAAACTAGGGCAAACGGGAACTAATCAGGAAATGGGTAAATAATACAAGACTGGGTAAATGTTTGTTTATCATCAAAAAGATGGTAGTGTGTGTGTTGGGCTTGATTTAGATAGAAAGATCCTTGTTTCGATCACATAGTCTATTTATCTACCATTTACAGTAGTTTCTCATTCAGTGTTTCTGGTGTCTGTTGAGCAGATAAACACTTTCAAGCGTTGACTCATTTTATTAGTAAATGCAAAGAGCTGACCAAAAAGAACGAGAACATTATTCGCTTACTCAGTTAAGAAAGAAAAGCAATACCTTAAACATTGTCATATAATTATAGCAATATCAGATGTTTGAACACACTGTTTCTAAGACACTCGTTTGATCTTCATGCCGATGGATTTCATGCTGACAGTGAAGCTGTTTTTCCAGGTCGACCAAACAACACCAGTGCCGAAATGGGTGTCGTCTTCTCCCCATAAGTACACACCGTTGGGGTTTGCAGTGTGACAAAACTTGTACCAAAATGCTCCCAGAAACTCTTTAGCACAGTTATTTTCATAGACATCTTGGTCTTTGTCGAAGGTGGAGAACTTCTGATCATTGTGGTCGGTCAACGAGTCGCCTGCAGAGAGGAAGAGCACCACTGAAGACAATAACCCAACTAGAATGTGTTTTCATGAGTATAAAATAAAGCGTCCTACCTGCTCCTCCATCAGTGAATCCTGAAACTTGTAGTTTATAGCCGTCAGCTTCAGGACCCACAGAGAAGGACGAGTACAGAGCAGAACCTTTCCTTCCGGTGAAGTCCTCCAGATCCACTCTCAGCATGTACTTGTTGTTACGTGTCAGCTGGTACATGTTCTCCAGCCCTGATCATACACACACATGAAGAACACCTTCAACCAAACACTGGACATTCTACTGAGACATAAACCAAATTTTAAAACTTTATTGTCATGCAGCCATAATACAGTGGCCCCAAAACATATTTGGTGTATGTTGGACACTTAAGTCCCACGTAAAATGTCTTGAATTCATTGCATTATATTTAAAATACTAAAGCCACTTGCATGTGCTTAATGCTGAAGTTAAAAGCTCAGATATGCTTCATCGTGTACAGTTGAACGTGCAAGTCCTTCAAATTATACAAATTTAACTGTGAGCGTGAATGGACGTGTTCAGCTCAACCTGTCGTATGAGCACTGTTGTAACATCAGCACATGTGCGAGTGACTGAAAATTACAGAACGAGGAAAAGAGAAGTAAGAGCCACATTTACAATTTGATCTACAATGATTTTTGCCACAGCTGGTTTTGAGGTGATTTAATGGATGTATGAAGTAATTTGTCCCCAAGTTCACGCGGGTATATTTCATTACATTCACAAGTTTCACAATCAAAAGAAAGCAAAACTTGTTTTCATTTTCAACATGATATTTACTGTATGTATTTTGAAACATAAGACGCTTAATTTAGTCAAATGCTTTAATTGAGTTTGTGCTGTATTTCTCTAAAAATCAGTGCCACTTGTTTTGATATTTTGTCATATAATTTAAAGGGGTCATATGATGCGATTTCATCATATCCATAATTATGTCCCCACTGAATGCAACAAATGCCTCGTTTATAATGGGTTTTCATGTTTTTGTCTCGTCGCTCCGGCCGGACAGGGCATCACAGTATGGTGAGGGGCGTAACATTTCCGTCTCACGCTTGAGGAATTCGGCCAATCACAACGCACTGGATAGCTGGCCAATCACAGCACACCTCGCTTTTCAGAACGATGAGCTTTGTAAAAATCGACGCGTTTCAGAAAGGCGGGGCATAGAGGAGAAACAATAATGTACAGTATGTGGAAAATAATGTGTTTTTTTAACCTTAAACCGCATAAACACATTGCATTACACCAAATACACAAAATAATGTTCTTTTTAGCAACATCATATGACCCCTTTAAAGAGTTTCACACATTTTCATAGTGGCTTAAGTGTCCAGTAAAGCTTTTTAGTGCTGATGCAACCCAGAATCACTGGAGAATTCTTACCCAGCCAGTATTCGCCCTCTGTGGCTCCAAATCCTCTCTTGTACTGATTCCACGGCTGATAGAAATTCACACTGCCGTCCATTCTCCTCTGAATCACCTGTGATGGGTTTATAGAGAATATATGATTCAGAATGAATGTGCTGATGTGTGTTTAATGATCTAAAGTCGTACCGTCCATGCTCCTTTATCTTCCTCTTTCCCGTCTGAGATCATCTGACAGTAAACCCAGACAGGAATGTCTCCTGCTGGATAGATGGAGTAAATCCCACTGACTGTTTGTCCTGCTTTATATACATCAGAGCAGTCAAATGGTTTGAATCCACAAACAACAGACGCCGTGAAAACAGAGAGCAGAGCCACGACAAACATCGTCATCTAGAGAGAAATGACGGATCAGGTTCCTCGTTTAGGATCAAATCACACTGAAATTAACCCAATTTGAAAAATAATACACATACATTCATTATCTGTTCAGTAAATGCTGATGAATAAGAGTAACTCACTGTTAGTGTCGTGAGATGTTCAGATCACTGGATCTTCAGTTGCTGAGTCCTTTATTTAGACCATTTACTGCTTTTTCAACCCAGCCTTTATCAGTATGAACCCATCTTTTAAACTCATTCTTGTGTTGTGCAATAATGTTGAAATATCAACCGTTCATGCAAGAAAATCATCAGCTGGTCCGTTTCACTGTTTTGCAATGACCTTGAAAAATAATGTTTAACATTGAATCTGTTTTCAGTGATGGAGGATTGTGGAAACCATGAATTTGTCTTGATTGCCAACAAAATTCAACTGCATTGTGTGAGAATATACAGTATATATGTATGTCATGGCTGTATCGAGGAAGGCACACGAGAACGATGATGGAATTAATATGTAGTTTAATAACATCCAATACGAAGATAATCCACAGAGAAGGAAGGGTAGACACACACCAACATAAACGTAATACCGGACCAACAAACACTGAACAGAATGCAACTTATAAGGGGAACGTAAATGAGGATTATTGACACGAAACTCCTGAACATAATGACACAATCAAGGGGAGACAGAAACTAGGTCAAAGAACACGAGGGATGAAATGAAAACAAACACAAAAGTCCATAAAGTGTGACATTATATATATATATGTGTGTGTGTGTGTTTAAATGCGTTTCCTCACGTTTTGTTTGTGTTCGTCTATATATGGCTATTTTGTCTAAAATGTACATCTATTATTTACGTTTTTTTCATGAAAGTAAGCTATTTAGTAGGCTATTTGACTAATAATTTATATTTTTAAAATCTACTTGATATTTTTGTTATATTTTAATTAAAATATTTGAGAATGGAGAAATTATACTGATCAATTTCAAGAACTACAATTATTACATATTTCATATCAACATTATTCAAATCAAGAAATTATGTGGGACACGATTTTTACCTGCATGCTTCGATATGGAAAGTAAATGTTGAAATTAATTTGTTTTGTGTGTTTTTGCACAAAATTAATATAGGAGGAGATCAGTTCATGTTTAATATTGTGTTGACATATCTTGCATTTCTGGGTTTGAAACGCAGAGTCCCTGTTACAGTTATAAAGCCAGCATTGTGGGATATAAAATCTCAATTGCGAGTTATAAAGCCAGAATTGTTAGTTAATATCTCACAATTCGGACTTTCTCAGAATTGCGAGTTTCTATCAAATAATTCTGACTTTATAACTCGCAATTGAGACTTTATATCCCACAATCCCGAGAAAAAACAAGTGTGTAGAGAAGGCATATAACATGTTGAGTTGTATGCCATCTTGAAAGCCTTAGAATGGACTGAGCAAAGCAAACCTAACGAAGTCCTAATCGGTTGTGGCTCCGTCTCTGTCTGATGGAGTCTCAGATCAGGTATGACCAGAAATCATCAGGAGCTACTTTATGAAACAATGATACAATGAGGTTGTATTGGTTTGGATCACTGCACATATAGGCATTATGGTAAATGAAAAGGTAGACAAAATAACCAAACGAGATTTGAAAAAAAAAGAAATTATAGACACAGATATCAGGCTTCCAAGATCAGAAGGGAAGATGGGAAAGAATTACTAAAGAATTATTAAAGTAGGACCAAGAATCAAAAGGAAGACCAAGAATAGGACCCAGTGAATTATATATTACAGGGAAACATCCGACTGGATTTTGTGAACATTAGAGACGTAGAGTATTATTGTAGAGTATTATTTGCAGGAAATATGAAATACAGGAGTAGAGAACAGACTGGAATGCAGTGGGAGTAATGATTTCATTTCATTTATTTCACTCATTTAATGATTTCCTCATTTATTTAACTTGTTTAAAACTGTATCTCCTTTGTTTAACCATTTGTTTCACTTATTGTTAATAAAATGATTGATTTCTGATGACAACACCACATCTGACACAATGTACATAGAGACATAATGCTTTAAATGCAGGAGTTTACTGGAAGTTAATTTACATAATAGTTCATCAAAAGACCAGAAGCAGAGCAAAGCTTAGACTGAGGAAAATAAAACCTTAAAGCTTCTCATTTGTAATATAGTGAAAACAACATGGGATGTTTGCTCCTGAAAACACTGATGCTTCTAGAGCACACGTCTGATCTTCATGCTGATGAATTTCATGCCAATGGCATAATTGCTCTTCCATGAGTACCAAACATTTCCAATGGCGTTAATGGTGGAATCTTCTCCCCATAAGTACACACCGTTGGGATTTGCATAGTAACAGGCTGAGTACCAAAATGCCCCGAGATACAGTTTGGCACAGTTTTTGTCATAGGAGTCTTGGTGTTTGTCTAAGGTTGTGAACTTCCGTCCATTATGGCCAGATAAAGAGTCGCCTGCAGAGAAGAAGAGGGTCACTGAGGACATTAACATCTTATTTATGACTTATTTATATTTATGATATTTAATTTATTTGCCGATACTGATATATAGGAAAATATGACAAGTCGGTCCCATATTCAGCGAAAGGCCCGTTTAGTGCAACTGGCGTTTGAAAGGGACTTGACAAGAGAGTTTGGGGATGAATGGAAAGAGTCTCTCCTGAGAAGGTTCAATGACAGCAAACACCAGTGGTGCATAAAGTGTGCAATCGTCATACTTCAGTCAAAGTTGTTACCAGAAAAATACAGAAGTAAAAGTATTAAAGTAACTGATATTAAATCTACTTAACCCTTACGAAAGTTAACCATGGTTTTATTATAGTAAACCTGAACTGAATAGGGTCAAAGAGAACCCGCGTTGTTAAAAACCTGTGTTAAAGTGAGATTGGGCTAATGCATGAACACAGATGACATGCACCTCCTTTTGACTGACAGGTTATAATCGGCCCTGATCATTGTTTGTTTGTCCGATCTCCATGATGTCTGTTAAAGATCTCTTCATCTGGAAAGCATCTACTGTGTACAAACATCTGATAGATGTCAGTTTTGCATGCATTCTAAATCATACACATTTGACATCTGATAGGAAACGTCCCATAGACGTACTGGATTTGAGTAAAGACTAATACATCTTGCAGATGAAAATGCAGACGTCAAATAGACGTCTCTGAGATGTATTATGTTATCAGGGTCTATTTTGGTACATTGAAACATCGTTATTTACATGAAGAACATGTTTCAGTGAAATTACGAAAAAGATTTGAAAGTCTGTGAGCAAGTAAACATCTGTTCAAGTGTGATTTTATCAATGTGTTTTCATGAGTATGAATGAAAGCGTCCTACCTGCTCCTCCATCCTTGAACCCTGAAACTTGTAGTTTATAGCCGTCATCTTCAGGACCCACAGAGAAGGACGAGTACAGAGCGAAACCTTTCCTTCCTTCAAAGTCCTCCAGATCCACTCTCAGCATGTACTTGTTCTTACGTGTCAGCTGGTACATGTTCTCCAGCCCTGATCATACACACACATGAAGAACACCTTCAACCAAACACTGGACATGAACATCCACACAAACACACACACGCTGTGAGATCTTACCCAGCCAGTATTCTCCCTCCACATTCCCAAATCCTCTCTTGTACTGATCCCACGGCCGATAGAAATTCACACTGCCGTCCATTCTCCTCTGAATCACCTGTGATGGGTTTATAGAGAATATATGATTCAGAATGAATGTGCTGATGTGTGTTTAATGATCTAAAGTCGTACCGTCCATCCTCCTTTATCTTCATCTTTCCCGTCTGAGATCATCTGACAGTAAACCCAGACAGGAATGTCTCCTGCTGGATAGATGGAGTAAATCCCACTGACTGTTTGTCCTGCTTTATATACATCAGAGCAGTCAACCGGTTTGTCTACATCAAGAATACAATTGTTTCTCCTGCTTTATATACGTCAGAGCAGTCGACGGGCTTGAATCGATCAGAAACAGACACAGTAAACCCCATGAGAACAGAGAGCAGCACCGCGACAAACACCGTCATCTACAGAGAGAAACACGACTGATCATCATCCTCATTTATAATGATCAAATCACACTGACATTAGAAGGAAACGTGAACTTACTGCAATCTCGCCTTCGCTTGAAGAATCTTCAAGAAAGTAAAAACTATTTTGCTGAATGATTATCTGAACGTTGAATGCTGCGTGAGGGTTTGTGTTGCGATGTTGTTCAATGTGACACAAACTCTGTTAAATATCTGTCAGATCAGGCTCCTCCTCTCTGTTACTGTATAGATTTAAAAAAATACATATTGCAAAACTCTTGATTCTTGGCACAAATTAAGTATCTGTTGTTATACAATGGCCTGAAGGTTATCAGTAAGAGTGTTTGTAACATCTGTCGTTTGAGTCATTCTTGCACTGCACAATGTTGAAATACTGATGTTTCATAAACGTTAGGACTTTCCTCACTCGCTTTGACATTGCTTTTGTAACACACCTAGAATAAAAAGTTTAAGTAAGTTTAGTATTAATGAGTTTTTTTTATTATTATTAAGCACAAGGGGTCATTAATGATGCTTACAGTATAACGTGCGAATTCTCACACAACGCATCTTTAATTTGGCCAGAATTGCAGGGTGCCTGTCTTGATATCCAAGAAGGTTCAGAGAAAATATGAAATAAGTTTAATGTTATTATAGATTGATCTTCTTTTAGGTTAGTACTTTTATCAGTTCATTCAAGAGCAAACAACACAAGATACATGTTTCAAATCACCTTTGTTGCTGAAATAATTACAGAAATACAGGCGATAATTGTCATGTTAGAAAATACATTGGTAACACTTTATTTCGATAGTCCACTTTAGACATTCTATTAACAGTAAGTAGCTTTGCAACTACATGTCAACTAGCAGTTAGTAGAGTATTAGTAGACTGTCTGCTTAATATCTTCTAACACTTTCTTTGTCAACTTATTCTACTAACCCTAAACCTACCCTAACAGTCTACTCTGAGAGTTAGTAGACATGTAGTTGCAAATTAATGAGAATTAGTTGACATGTAGTTGACATGTAGTTACAAAGTTACTTATAGTTAATAGAATGTCTAAAGTGGACTATCGAAATAAAGTGTAACCAATACATTTACATTACCTAACTTGCATAACTCACATAAAATCCATAATGTTTGTAAATGTATTTATCCAGTGTGTTATCAGAAGGTGTGATGAAGATATGACATGACCATAAGCTTTTGTGCTCGAACAGAGTTTACTGTCAGTGCAGTAAATGTCCTCACTGTGCCATATGACTGAATCTGTAACTGAACTTTTCAGATGAAGAGTGAGTTATATGTGCAGACTCTACCATGGTATATGCCTCTACATACAGTATCACATGGCATAATGTAATGTAAAAAGGCTGTCTCGCTTCTTCTGATACATCTCTGATCAGTTCCTCTGCCTTGTATCCTGCTGTATGGTCACAAATTACAGAACACACAGTTTTACAAATGAGGACATCCTCAAAGAGAGGTTTTGGGTGATTTTGTCAGGTTTTGCTCACTTCTGGGTACCAATATGTCTCCAAAATATGGTTAAGTAGGTACACACACGCACGCACACACGCACGCACACTCACACGCACACACACACACACACGCACACACACACACACACGCACACACGCACGCACACATAATAGTAAAATATTGACCGCATACTGTTGTCCTCTCAGAATTAACAGGAGACAACCTGGTGGTGGTCGCTCACGTGTTTTGACTGACCAGCAGGAGTTAGCTGTGGTGGAAATGGTCAGGGCAAGGAATGACATACGGCTGTCTGAAATCAAGCAGGCTATTGAGAACAGCAATGACACCTTTGCCAATGTGCCGTCAATTAGCCTTCCAACTATTGCCCGCCTTTTGAAGAAGCACCAGGTTTCTATGAAACAAATTTACTTGGTGCTTTTTGAGAGAAACAATGCCCGGGTGAAACAACTGCGTTCAGAATATGTTCAGGTACAGCACTAAATCGGTGTACTGTATGACATGCAATTTACAGTACTGACTAACAATGTCAACTATTATTTGTAAAAGAGCTAACCAAATTATTATTATTTTAGAGGGTGATGGAGCTGGACGCTGCTGTGAATCATCACAAGCATATTTTTGTATTTTTGTAAAACCAGACGCCGTGGACGTAGTAACCTTATTGGCCAAAGGGCAACCATCCAAGTGCCGGGACAGCGTGGGGGAAACATCTCCATGTGTGCAGCTATATCTGAAGATGGTGTGGTGGGCTGTAGACAACACTGAACACCTGATAGCTTTTCTAAATGAGCTTGAGCAGGCCTGTCAGGGTGACATGTCATCTATGTTATCGTGTGGGACAATGTCAGTTTCGAGTTTTGAAAGAATGACTAGTGGCATTACAAGTGTGATCAGTTTAAAGTTTTGTACTAAGAGTTTTGAAAATGTACACCTTACTTATGAAAATAGTACCAACCCAATTTTTAAAAACCTGTAAATGAGCCGTCCTAATGACCCGTTGTGGTTATATTTACTTGTATTTATTCGCCTATGGCCACATCACGAAAGGGAGCAGCCACAATAAGCACCGGTCTTGCGAAGTCACTGATGTGCCTGACTGATAATAACTCTTATGGTTATTACTGTTAGGAGAGGATAATATGAGTAAGAGTAATACATCCCAGTCACAATTCATTAGTTTGCTGTATATTGCTCGTAATTGTTAGCTGTCTGTAGGCAGTATTTTGCTTCTTTTTTTTTTTGTCATGTATTTTATTTTATTTTTTTGTAAACAGCTTTGCAGCCTTTTCTTTCACGTACAGTATGCCATTGATAAGGTTGATGGTCTTGTAAGATTTATCACATTATGTGTTACTCTGAGATTATAAAATGACATACAGCTAAGCAATATCACATGAGCAAGAGTGTTTTCCCCGAATATCAGCTCCATTGAAAATCTTTATTGAACTGTAGTATAAAATCAATATAACAAGAAGTACATTTTGAGTGAGTTTAATATTGTACCTATTTTCTCATTTTGCTTGAAGAGTCCAAACAAAGCCTCAGCAGAACAGTGTCAAGAAGCACAGAGACGCCTTATATTGAATGATTCACTTTATTCCTCACTGAAT